CGCATGAAATGAACTTATTTTAGTTCTTCATGAATAATATTTATTATTTGTATGTCCTGACAACCGTTGTTGTGACTGGCTGTTTATTTACATTCCTATTGATCACTTTTATTGACTTGTAATTTGAACTTCCTTGCCATGTGGCTTATTCTTTATTAGTCGTTAAATTTTGGTCTCTAGTAATGTGTGTCTGTTGATCACTGGTTCATCTGACTACTGACTAAGCTTCTAGAAATTCCCTGAAAGTATTTTGGTATTTCATCTGTTTAAAATTTCTACATTATCCTAATCAAATTAGTGCTCGTAATTATCGACATGTATCGATATAAAAGAATACATATAGTGTCTTTTCATAGCTAATTTCTGTTCTTGAATTCGTATTCTAAGGGAACGCCCACTTTGACGGATTTAATGTAGTCTAGATGTTATACAGAAGGACAGTGAAAGCTTTTTAATTAAATCAACCAGCTTAGATTATACAACTAAATCAGAAAGGATACAATAATACAATGACCTTATTCGATCCCTCTCCAACTGTTGATTTTGTTTCTTTCAGATGCAGAAAGTCGGGTCAATTTGGTATTGTTATTTTGCCTGAAATAATTAACATGACTGTATTAATGTTATAAAACGCGTACAATCTCTTGTGTGTAAGCAAACCTTGGAACTAAGTGTCGTACCTACTGGTACTTATTAGCAGGGTGGATGGTAATAACTTCTTTGTGGATTATATTTTCGTGGCGTGTACTACTGACAAGATTTATCAGTAATATGTAAAGAGACATTCATCGGCACAGAAAACATCAAATAGCGCGCACATAGATTTGACGCCACACATGCCGGACACGAAAAGAAGACAAAGAAACACAATACAAAAACAGAGACAGCACCACACGGAAGATCTATGGAAATGAGGATTTTGAGTTAAAGTGTATATAATTTCGCTATGTAGAGATGCCAAATGTTTCAGAAACACGCATACAAGACCCAAGTGTGGTTATTCACCTAACCCCACCTGGCCAACAGGTTGAATCTGCAAAATTCACCTTGAGGGTGTCAGGAGATGCCACAGCTAGTTCACGAGGATTAGCTGGCGTAGGGATAGCTTTGAGTACTAGGGCAGAAAAGACATTGCTTGACTGGATCCCGGTAGATAGCCGAATGTGTGCTGTCCGCCTGAACGGATCAGTAAGAAGGAGGAAGGACTGCACTACTCGCCGATGCCTTTTCGTAATCTCCGCCTACGCCCCCACTGACTGCAGTTCAGATGAAACGAAGGATGAGTTCTACCAAAAGCTGTCTAGTTTGGTGCGAAAGGCTAAACGCTCAGACATAGTCGTTCTAGCTGGTGACTTTAACGCTCAAGTAGGGAAATTGTGTCAATCTGAGAAGGATGTCGGTGGCACCTATGGAGCTCCGTGCCAGCGAACCGACAACGGTGACCGTCTCCTACAGTTCTGCTCTGATAATCATTTGTTTCTTGTAAGCACTAACTTTAAACACAAGGAGAGACACTGTTTGACTTGGAGACCCCCTTCATCAAACCAACGCTGGACACAAATAGACCACATAGCAATAAGCTATCGTTGGCGTGGGTCGGTAGGAGATTGTCGCTCCTTCTGGAACACGTGCGTAGATACCGACCATGCACTGGTCCGCGCTCGGGTGTGCTTACGACTGAACGGACGTAGGAAACAGCTGGCGGTAAAACCATCACGTCCCCAGCTCGATCAGGAAACTAAATCCGTATTTGAGGAAGAACTAGCTAAACACATATCTGTGTTCGACAGCTGTGCTCACCCTGAAGAAGCTTGGAAAAATATCCAGGCAGCCATAGATACAGCTGTAAAAGCTGTGAATAAGGTAAACCCAAAGGTGAGTAAAAACCACTGGATCTCCACCGCCTCATCCGAACTGATAGATGCTAGAAGACTTATTCCGGCGAGCTCCGAATTCAATGAGGAGCGAAAGCTGCACAAGAGGAAACTTACGAAAAGTCTCCGCAAGGACCGTGAACAGTGGTGGGCGACAAAAGCCAAAGAGATGGAGAAAGCTTCGAGGATAGGCAACACCAGGCAACTCTTTGGACTCATCAGGGAAACGGGTGGGAGAAGACAAATCATCAGTGAGACAATCTCGGAAAAAAATGGCACTATAATTAGCTCCCAGGATAGACGACTGGATCGTTGGAAAGAGCATTATGAGGAGCAGTTTAATTTGCCCACAGCCACGCTCAACCTTCCGAGCATCCAACACCTCCCTGAATGGGATATAAACACAGGTCCTCCGTCACTAACTGAGGTTACTAAAGCTGTCACCAATCTGAAACTAGGCAAAGCAGCGGGACCTGATGGAATGACTCCAGAGGTATTTAAGTACGGTGGAGACAGCTTACTGTCCGGATTAACTGAGGTACTAGGCAGCGTCTGGGAATCAGAAGAAGTCCCATCGGGTTGGTGTAAGTCACTGATTATCCCCATATACAAGAAGGGAGACAAGTCTTCCTGTGATAATCACAGAGGGATTAGCTTGACTAATATAGTATCTAAAGTCTTAGGCTCAATAATCATGCGTAGACTGAGTGGTGCTCGGGAAGCACAAACACGAGAGAGCCAGGCAGGCTTTAGACCAGGAAGAGGGTGTATTGATCATATCTTCACCCTCCGACAGATTCTAGAACATAGGCATTCCTACCGGCGTCCAACAGTCATTATATTTCTTGACCTAAAGGCAGCATTCGACTCTGTCGATCGGGAAGTTCTCTGGAGATGCTTGGCTGTAAAGGGAATTCCGAGAAAATATATTGCACTGATTAAGGCACTCTACTCGTACTCATACAGCCAGGTGAGGGCTTACGGCGAGCTGTCATCTGAACTGATGACGACCAGTGGTGTCCGTCAAGGATGCCCATTATCTCCTTTTCTATTCAACTTCATCATAGATGTGTTAATGGACTTAACCCTAGGTGACTTCAGCGACTCAGGGATTGACTTGCTACCGGGGAATAATCTCGTTGACTTGGAATATGCAGACGATATAGTCCTTCTAGGCGAAGACGCTGACGAAATGCAGAGTCTTCTAAACACCTTGAGCCGCAATCTACGAATGTTTGGCATGCGATTCGCTCCCGCCAAATGCAAGATGATGTTACAGGACTGGACTACATCGACGCCTAGTTTAAAAATAGGAAGTGAAGTGGTAGAGCACGTTGACCGCTTCACTTATTTGGGAAGTACCATCAGCCCCAACGGGCTGATCTCTGACGAAATCTCAGCACGAATACAAGGGGCTCGTTTCGCATTTGTTAGTTTACGCCGACTCTGGCGTAGACGAGATGTTCGACTATCGACCAAAGGGCGGGTGTACTGCTCATCAGTCCGCTCCGTCCTCCTTTATGGTTGTGAGACCTGGCCACTGAGAGTGGAAGACATGAAAAGACTAGCTGTCTTTGATCATAGGTGCCTGCGTTCTATTTCCCGTGTAAAGTGGCATAATAAGGTGAGCAACATGGAGGTTAGGCGTAGAGTTCTAGGTAAACAGGGGAAATCAATCGACGAAGTCGTGAAGCTACAAAGACTGAGATGGTTAGGACATGTGTTACGTATGCCAAGTCATCGCCTCCCTCGACGAGCAATGTTAGCGGATATAGGGTCAGGCTGGAAAAAAGCTAGCGGCGGTCAAACAAAAACTTGGCATCAGTCAATGAAATCCACAACAGTTGGTCTAAGCCACGTAGGAAGGTGTAGACTTCCAGGCTGGGGTCCTCGGGACGGTAAAAATCTATGGTTGGAAACAATTGGTGACATGGCTCAAAATCGTTCTCAGTGGCGCAGATGCATCCACTCCCTGTGACTTATGATCTCCAATGAAACTGTTTTGTTTTTCTTTATTACTCCTTTGTCTCACACCTCTGCTCACTGTTTCTATTATGCTTTTCTTGTACTTTCTTCTCTTGCTTCGCGTGCTACACGGAATGTGGCGACTTGAACTTCCGCACATTTGTGCAAAGTTCTATGTCGAAAACAGACAGACAGACAAACAAACATTCCATTACCAAGTCCCATGGCTTCTGCAGTTACATTTAGTGTCTCTGCCTCAAGAAAGTGAAGAGTCTATACCCTGCTGCTTTTGAAGAAGAGAACATAAGGAGCTTCTTGTGGGACTTCGATGCTGTCGCTGATTTGGTGGGTGCCAAGAATCCGATGGCGAAGAAAATTGTTTTAGGGACACTCTTGAAAGGTTGGACAAAGGCGGCATACAACAATGTGGAGCGGTCAGGTGATAAAGAGACCTGGAAGTTATCGGTTGAACGATTTGTGACAGAGAAGCAGCACTTCCGTGCCATGAACCTGGGATCTGACAGAGACCCGTTAGCCTTGACGAATCTACTACGTCGCTCACTCCCCATATTTCATGAAAAGTCGGCATCGCAGTTATTGACTTCCGAGTTCATTCAGATTGACCCAGACCACATGTCTCAGCAACTATAACTGGTTAATGCTGCACAACACATGGAAATTGGTGAACTAGAGAAGGTAACCAGGCAACTATTGACCACAACAAATAGCCACAAGGGAGCCGAATGAATGAGAACAGATAACTGAAGATTTCCAGCGTGAATTAGCGGCACTATGAATGAGTGCAAAGGAAGACCAATGCTTTGAATGTAGCAAATCAGGACACTCGAGGAGGAGAAGGAAAATTTTTAAACAGTATGATGTGTGTTCTTTCTCTCCCACCAGACTAGAAGTAGTGGCGACTATCGAGAGGGGGTGTGAATGACCAAGAAGTACTATGATTAGTGGATACAGAGGAGGCAGTTTCACTAATAGATAAGAATTTATGTCAGTAGCACATGTCACATTATGACACTTCCTAAAAACTAAACACAAACACACACACACATGAAACGCTATAAAATTCATATAAAACTATCCAAAAAATATTAATGCATGGCAATAACATAAACAAGTTTTTTTGAATAGCATAGCAAAACTTACATTTGTTGCACGTTTATCAGTCTCTTCTAGTTTATTCATCTGTTCTTGTAGGGTTTCTTGTATTCCATCACATTCAATTTGAGCTTGTTTCATTTTAGTGTTGAGTTCAGCAATTTCACTTTCCTTTTTTTCACGTTCTTCTTCTTTCTTTTTAAGTAGTTCTTCATATTGAACAGCTCTATGAAAGTACAGTGTACAAAATGCAACAAAAACCGGAGTCAATGAATCAAACCTGGAGATGTGGGTGATGGTGGTGGTGGTGGCGGGCGGTGGTTATGTGGATGAGCAGAGAAAGGCGCAAAAACGTAACGTATACCACTTGACTGAAGGTAAAATTTAGTCGGGAATGTAATTTTCCCAAGAGGAAATAAGACAGAAAAACTGTCTGGTGATCACTAAGCATTTGGGTCGAATCTATGGCCGATGGACAGTTCTATAAACATTATATCCTCCAGAGACTTAGCGTATCACCAAAAGTATCTCAAAAAGGCTGTTGGAGACCTTTATCATCAGATCTTCGAGCTAGATGAGGACAGAGGGGATGAGCATCAAGGAACTCTGGCAGGCATTGACCAACCAGGAACCTATCGTCCAACAAATGCTCCGGTGAAAATGGTGATAGATATGACACACACACATTTAGGCGACTATTGAGACACATCGAGTTAGGAGTTAGTCCTAAGTTGACATAATAATAGAAATAGTCACTTTGTTTTAAACAATGATAATTATACAGAATGGAATTTTAAGCGTTTTTATACACATTCTAGTGCGTCGGTGGTATAACGGTTAGGACGCTCGCCGACCATGCACATGGTACGGGGTTCGATCCCCGGCCACGGACGCACTCCTTTACCTCGCCAAGCCAGAAATAATCCTGGTAAAGAGGAAAGGTTTGGCATGAGGCTAGCAACCCTATCCTGTAAAATAAACACTGCTACAGCAACTTCAAGCCACTAGCTTGAAGTCCTATGTTCCACTGGGGAACGTGAAGGAAAAAAATAATATATTCTAACAATTTAGCTCCTTTCATAAATATTAAGGCACATAAAATTTAAAATAATAATAAAACCACAAAAAATTCAAGGGCAGTGGAAACAATGAATTGTAAATAGATAATATCATAGATAATACGTGTAATAATAATAATAATCATAATAATAGTAATAATAATAATCTTTGCTTATACGTTGCAGTCCAGTTACTGATTTAGAAAGTTTATAAGTCCTTTTCTGACACTTGTCTCTCTACACACAAACACGCGCATTAAAATAGTTTGGTAGGATTTTTATATTTTGCTGTACAAGCATAGATTCTTGTGAAGTTTCTTCTCGTTTTACCCGAAGAGATACAAGGAGGAAGTTGGGAATAAGTAGAGAGGATGTCCCGTATCAGACAATACAATTTTAGCCAACTGCTTACAGGAATTAAAATGCTCCTATCGACAACAATGTCAGTCAGTTTAGTCAAAGGGAGACACACACACCACAAACCCTGATTACAGCCATCAATATTCTAAGTAATATGATATACTCATGGAAAATTCTCATTGTAACAGTTAGAAAACCAAAACAAGTGATTCAGCGAAGAGACTCTTTTCAATGACGAATTTATCATCAAGCTGTACAATCAAATATATATGGTTCTTAAGAAGTTATATCAGGTGAGGGAATTGAATCATAGGTGTGAATGTATAAAATAATAATAATAGTAGTATGAAATGCAATTAAAAAATTAAAATGCTTGTGATTATAATCATAGTTAAGTGTCAAGTGGTAAAGCAAGTTAATGTCATATATAGAATAATTCATAGGATGGATAGAACTTGAAAAAGGGTGTGCAATTATAGGATTAGTATACTAATCGAATAAAATAAAAACGTTACGTAATATTGCGTGAAACTTGATAGCATTTAGAATTTAACGTTGCAAAAAAGAATTGATTTAGAATGACAAGTGGAACAAGTGAAATAATACCGGGGACAGTTCAAAGTGAGAGTAGTTATGGTAACAATTGACATAATAAGGAAGAGTACACAAATTGAATAGGCAAAATGAAAAATTAAAGAATTGGTAGAGCCAAAATATGATTGGAGATCACCATACTTTAGCATAGAGGGATTAAGACCATGACAGTTGGAGGGGTTGAACGAACTTTTTCTGTACACAGAGATCTGGTTTTCCTGTTTCCATAGATAAAAAGCTCCAGCGATGCAGATGAGTCTGGTACGTAGTGATCTCAGTAAATTACTTTTTGCCTTGTAGATGACTTTAAAGGCAGAGGCTATAGAGATAGGGTGACAATTATCGACCAGATGTTCAATGATCACGCTTCTTGTTGCTACACTTCCACCTCTTCGTAACAAAACTCGAGTCGAACGACCGGTGAATTGATAGACACACATAGAGTTGGTCAACAGCGGGATCTTGTCCTTGAGGTTATTGAACATTAATGGTCAACTAGTAAAGGCTATTCTCAGAGATACAGCAGGGAATGTTCTTTCCAGGGACTGTAATATCCTTCTTTTCATAATATCGAAAGGTAAGTCCGTCAGCTAAAGGGAACCACAGGGAACAGGACAAAGTGGAGATGTGCCACTGAAGCCGTAGGCTGCACTCAGCAACATAGGGAGTACTAATATAAAACTATTAATCCATTTCACATATTTGCAGAGTGTTATATTAGAAAACGAAGATTATCTGAAGAAATGTGGTGTGATATAATTGTGCAATATGCACTTCGAACAACAATCTGATCACATACACATACTTATCTGTCAGTCAAGTTAATTTATATGAAAAATATGCTGGGCCAAATAAAGTACACAAAGTGATAAAAAGGATTTAAGAATAAGAATGATAAGAATAATTAACACAATGTTTGTTTATCTAATCAAACAAAAATTACTAAGGCAGGTTAAGAGTAATACCCAATTATTTTTTACACACAGGGAGGTAAGATGGCTTGAGTTTATGTATTTCTATCGCCTCAGTGTATTTCAGTCAGAGTCCTTCACCATTTTTAAAAATAAACTTAAAAGCTACTTGAACATCAGTATTATTGTTCATATCGATTAGATATTTGCCTATGCACGAAGCTAGTAGTCTGACAGCCACGTCTATCACTTCTTCGGAATTTATCAGTTTTTCCAACCATTTTGGGAAATATGCTCTCCCACCCTCACATGCAAAGGACGATTATTCCTGACTATGTATGTGTTCTCTCTCTTACACAAACACGCAAATTGGTGTGTAGTGTGTAATGTGACATAATCACTAGTGCACTTCTGAGGTTTGAAGTGGAACATACTTTTGGCTTTTTGAATAATAATAATAAGCCGGGTTGCGTAATAGGTTCTACGGATGACCAAGTTGAGTTCCTGTCTCAAAATCCTACTGTTTACTTCCCCATTGTGTGGGTGAGAGAAAAAGAATAGTAGTAATATACAAGAACAATAGACTTTCATTGGATGCAGATGACAAATCACTCACAAAGAGTGAATGCATCTTCACATCCCCACTGAAAAAGAGGATTTTGAACCCTATCACCAGTTGTCTGTCTCCAACCATCATTGGTTCTTACCATCTCTAGGAAACCAACCAGCCAGCTAGCCAACCGGCAAGTCTACACCTCCTTACATCGCTGGTTACCTGGCTGCTTTAAGTTAACTGTTATGGATTTGATTGACTGATGAAGCTATCTCTTGGTTTGACCACCACTACCTGGCTCCTTTCTGATCTGATGCATCCTATGTCTGTCAGCTCATCTTTCCCATCGGGTAAGGAAATGACTGGGCATTAATGCGTAACACATGTAGTCCTAACCATCTCACTCAACTTATGTAGCTTCACAACCCCGTCCATTGATTTTCCCTCCCTACTTACCTAACACACCTCAATATTACTCAACCTATTACACTTGCTACCTAACATGGGATGTAGAGAGAACACAGGCACCTATGATCAAAGACACCTAGCCAGCTAGGTAGCTAATCAAGCTTTTCGTTTCTTCTACTTTTAATGACCATCTCCCTCAGACATAAAAGACAATGTCTTCTACTAACAATATCCAAGAGTAATAATGGTAATAACGCTGTTAAGAGTGGAAAAGTTGAAGACAACAAAAAAAATAATTCAACATCTATTCAACGTACCTTTCCATGGCATTCTCTTTCTCCAACTTCATCGCAATCATTTTCTTTTTAATTCCATCCATCTTTTGAGTTTTCTTTAATAAAAGTTACGATCCAGAGAAGAGCAACAACAACAAGAAAAGTTCACTTGAGAAAGATGAAGAAAGTTATTTTTAAAAATTAGAAGAAAGATGTGTGTGTGTTTATGTGAACCGGTTGATACTCGGTTGCTTATCTTGTCTTCACAATTGAAACAAATTTAAATGGAATTTATTTTGTAATCAATTGTATGACCACCACACAGAAATGATCTAGTGTGTGTATGTGTGTGTAGTTTACGTGTGTCTAGTTGCCTGCCTGTCTTCCTGATAATACTTAGCACCCACATTCCCAACCAATCCAACTGAAACTTGGGATGAAGGGAAATGATGGAATTTCGATCAATTATGAAAGATATTTTTTTTTCACCTATCATTGCCTACTACATATACATCATAAACTGATATCGTAGCGATCGAACAAATTACCTATTTTTCCTATTTTACAAAGGTGCTATTGTGCTAGTGTTTTTTTTTATTATGCACCTTAGGATGATTTCTTGACCTTGGAAAAATGTATTGGGATAAATATATACACATAATATAAATACACCCACTGAATATTTCAGTCAATCTCTGTCTGTCTCTCTTCTTGCTGCTATCTATGTGCATTTTACTGACGTCTATGTACGATTGGGTAATTTAGATTTATCGAGTTTTTTAAAATAAATTCAATCAATTTTATTGCTGATAGATTCTGTGAAACATTGGAACTACTGCTGCGTCGGTGGGGGGCGGAGAGTGAAGAAGGGATAGAATCATTACTAAGAATAGATTTTAATTGATTAAATATACCCATTAATAATTTTAAAAGACTGATATTAGTGAATACTAAGAATCTTCTTTCCGATAGTTCTTCCTTCATCATATCAAACTGTATTGGAAAGATGGTTGCAGTGAAAACAGTTTTGTTTTCAACGAGCTCATCGACTAGATAGCTGTACATTTGTGTGTGGATGAAAAATTCCAGAACTCTGTTTCCTAAATTAATAAAATTAACAAGTGTAATAAACAGGAATATCGGATAAAAGGATTAGTGCGATCATAATGGCTGAGAAAATTGACCTTTGTGTGCGATTAGGGATTAAAGACACAGTAATAAAAAATAGGAAGGAAGTTCGGATAAAACACATAGCAATGTAGGTGGGGATGTATAATTACCTGAAAATAACAGAAATAAACAAGAAGATTGAAACAGAAACGTTATAGGATAATCATTACTGATAGGACTAACTTTCTTCGATGGCCATTATAAAGCCAGAGGCTGGACACATAGCACTGGCTTGAATTTGTGCCTTAATAGTACCTCAGCTATGCCCAGATGCCATTAATCTCACTCCCTTTGAGAGAGAGGTTTGATCGGATCTTTTATTTGCCTTTGAAGGATTTTTCAAATGGAGCTGTTACCGAACCATGGAGATTTACTTGAGTTCTCCTTTTGCTATCCAACCAGGCTGGGAGTGTTCCTGAGCGCGTTTTACAAGGGGACGTATGGTGTGACCGATGTACTAAGCTCCACAGTAAGGACAAAGTGAACCGGTATATACATGTTGAAGTTGCCCAATGTGGGCGATGGCTTGTCTTTCACGTGCGGAAAATGTCACCCGTACGCCACGGAGGTGGGTGTTGGAGAAGTATATGTCGCCGAGAGATTTCGAAAGCGGTCCGTCTACAGGGAAGTCCTGCTTCAGTATCACTTTTAAATTAAGAGAGATTAAGCATTAGCATCTTCGTTGAGCGACTTGAACTTGTTCATCAGAAGTTTTCTTTGGTTTTAGATTGTTATGTATGAATCTGGGTGGGAAACCATTTTCTATCAAAATTCCCCAGGGATTTCGTAATTCTTCGTCAACTGATTCCTCAGTGCCTCTTTTCCGGTCAGTGAGGATAAGTAGAACATGGGATTTCTCTTTCTGCTTCGAGGAATGCAATTTTGAAAGTTGAAAAACCTGCCACTCCTTGAGGGCATTGTATCGTGTATACCACACGTTTACTGAAAACATTTGCCCTACAACACATTACCAAGAAAAATGGTGATGTACCAAGTGAAATACTAACCAACAAGTTGAAAAACTCGATTCAAACATCGTTCAGTACCGACAGACATCGGCTTATATTTTCCACATGACTGATTATAATTCTGAAAATGAAAGACGTATCACCTAGGCTAACCACCTCTTGTTATATCCGTAAATTCAACTTCCCCATTTAGAGTCGGTTATATTGGTCCCATTTCTCCAATCTAGCACTGAAGACTCCTATTATCTGTTAGCTACCAAATAAATTACCGAAAGTTTCTAGACACCGAATACCCTGAACAGCAGACACCACTGCGGTTCGCCCAAAACAACAATATAGGAGCACTGTGTGGAAAAGAAAATAGTCCAACCAGTCACTATTACTACCTTATTCTGCTATGGAACTTGCAAATTTTGTTACTATCTTTAATATGTCTGATATATACAGTTTAATGAAAACGAGTACGTCGGTGGCATAGCGGTTAGGACTCCCGCCGACCATGCATATGGTCTGGGGTTCGATCCCCGACCAACTCATTCCTTTAACTCGCTAAGCCGGGAATAATGCTGGTAAAGAGGAAAGGTTGGACATGAGGCTGGTTAGAAACCCGATCCTGTAAAAATAGACACTGCTACAGAAACTTCAAGCGACTAGCTTGAACCCTATATTCCAGTGGGAACGTGAAGGGAAAAAAATGAAAACGAAACACGTAGTTCAGCGAAGAGTCTTATCGGCGAATTCATTTTCTTAGCTGTAAAATCGCAAATAAACATGCTTCCCTTTGTATTCATGTGTAAACTAAGTTTTTCAAACAAAAATAAGATTGTTTGTAGTTACTTTAACTAAACAGGTGAAAATAAATAAGTTTTGGGTGGAGTTACGCAATACAAAGACGGTCAAGAAAATTGGGTGTTATTGAAACTAGTGTAGTAACAAAGGTGATGAGTAGCCACAAATAGTTGTTGAAAAGGGATTATGTAATGATATGAATAGTTCGACAACAACAGACAACAATAAGCATAAATGGGAAGAACCTGAAAGAAACAACCTCCTTCACCTACCTGGGAAGCATCGTCTCAACTACAGGCGGAACTGACGAGGACATCAAAGTCAGAATTGGAAAAGCAAGACAAGCTTTCATTACTCTCAAATCTGTGTGGAGGTCAAGAGCAATCAGCATCAAAAATAACATCCGGATTTTCAACTCCAATGTGAAGTCAGTGCTACTATACGGATCAGAGACTTGGCGAGTCATAAAGAGCATCTCAAACAAACTTCAAACCTTCATTAACAACTGTCTCCGCTCAATACTCAAGATCAGATGGCCAGAAAAGATCAGCAACAGGGATCTCTGGCAATGAGCGAACCAATCAGAAACCGATTGTGAATCAAATAGGCAGGAAGAAATGGAGATGGATTGGCCATACGCTGAGGAAACCATCAAGTGACATCACTAGACAAGCCATCGCTCGATTGGAACCCGAAAGGGAGGCGGCGAGTTGGTCGTCAGTGCAAGGTGACTTGGAGGAGGTCATGCGAGAGGAGATGAAAGCATGTGGACAGACCTGGAGCAGGGTGAAAAAGTTGTCAGAAAACCGAAGTCAATGGAGGTGCGCAGCTGAAGCCCTATGTTCCTCTAGGAACTAAAGGATACAATAATAATAATAATGAATAGTTCGATGACTGAGTTGTACTTGACATACACATAGGAACAAAGTAGAGTATACGAAATTATGTATGAGTTCTTAATGAATACAAGAACTATAAGCAGTTAAAGAAACACGCAAACAAACCAAATTAAGTCATCAAAAATCAACAAAGTTGTTACGATGATAATAGAAATGGTTGAGTAATTCTCTTTTACATACACAGCTCAGGTTTTTCTATGTGGATGACCAGAGCTTCAGCGATACAAAAAAAGCGAAACCGTACTGACTCTGTGGATTACTTTGAAGAAGGAGTTTGTTGAGATGGAGTGATCAGTGTTAACCAGGTGTTCAATTATCGCACTCCTTATAGCATCACTATCTCCTTTTCGCAACCATGCTGGATTGTGTTCTTGAATCCACTTGGAAAGGATGAGCGTCGAACGACTGATGTACCTGGCTGGCTCCACAGCAGCAGGAGAACTGATAAATGCACATAGAAGTGGTCAGACGAGGGATCTTGTCCTTAAGGCTTCTGTAGATCAGTGGGCGACTGGAGAGCACTATTCTTAGCGTTACTGCAAAGAATCTTCTCCTCAGAGATGGTGTGATCCTTCTCTTGAGAATATCGATTGCTAAATCTCTCTTGAAATCCAAGTTCATGTAGAGTATCTTTTTCGCCGCAAGTGAAGTTTCATTCCTCCAAATTCTTGATTTGATATTTTTGTCAATGAATCTTGGTGGGTATCCATTTTGGATGAAGCTTTCTCTCAAAAGACCTAATTCTGTTTCTAGAAGATCGGGACTACAGATGCGTCATGTGCGTGTGACATACAAAATAACTCATGTATATTTGTGATTGTACAGCTAAGAAAATGAATTCGTCGAAAAGAGACTCTTCACTGAACTACGTGTTATGTTTTCATTAACAGCTGTCTTTGCTAAATACTCAAGATCAGATGGCTGGCCAGAAAAGATCAGCAACAGTGATCTCTGGCAATGAGCGAACCAACCAGGAACCGATTGTGAAACAAATAGGCAAGAAGAAATGGAGGTTGATTGGCCATACACTGAGGAAACCATCAAGTGACATCACTAGACAAGCCATTGCTCGAGTGGAACCCGAAAGGGAAGAAGCGAGTCGGTCGTCAGTGCGAGGGTGACTTGGAGGAGGTCATGTGAAGAGGAGATGAAAGCATGTGGGCAGACTTGGAGCGGGGTGAAAAAGTTGGCAGAAAACAGAAGGCAATGGAGACGCGCAGCTGAAGGCCTATGTTCCTCTAGGAATTAAAGGATATAATAATAATAATAATGCCTGGACGCAGATTTTTCATTAATATACAGTTTAGTGTTATACTGATGCATATTTATGCACTTTCAGAGGCTTATCAACTGTAATTTCTGGATCTTATTGATTCAATCAAATTTAAAACATTAATTCTTTGATTATTATGGTCACATAACTGTAGAACCTTATGAAGAAGTTATGGAAGAGACTATTGTCAGTATCTATTAATAGTGATGATAATAATTTACTCTATTCCAAGACAGTACTTATGATACATTGTGGAATTCTCAACAGGGTTAAATGATGTACAAATGTAAGATGATAAGAACAATACTATTCGTATTAAAAACACAAAATTATAAGATAACGGGGATAATGTCATCATAAGATTGCAAGTATGGAAGAATAACTGAGCTATTTTTATGCTAACTGCACAGTAATTCGTAAGTTTCACGTTTAGTACTGTCTTTATCACATAGAAGGCCAGAGGGTAGGCCAAATAGGATATCGTTGAGTTTCTGTACTCAGTTGTATCAGCATATAGTC